CCTGCCACAATGCCCAGCTATTTTTTGGTTGCAGCTATCGTTGTTTGGCGGGCCCAGGCTGGATTGGAACTCACCCGCTCAGGTGTACATGGTTTGGCGCATTAGCGGCTTGAGCTACAGGTGCCAAACCTGCTTTACTTTTCTTTATGGCACTGACAAACCTATGTTTTCTTATTAATCATGTTTATTGTCCATCATCTCCCAGTGGAATGCAAGCCCCAGGATAACAAGGATTAGTATTAGAAGACTGGTTCTTTTAATCTCTTCCTCTACCCAGATAAGTGAGGTTTCTACCCTCAGCACTCATAGGCTGTCCTTCCTATAGCAACCACCAGAGGGTACCCATCAGCAGGGCCTTTCCTTCCTCTGCCCTCTGCCCTCCATGACCCCAACCTGGGTCAAAGTCCAAGTTCTCCCCACAGTCCACTTGGCCCTGCATGATCCGCCCCATCCCCTCACCGCTCTCTTCCGCTCCCTCTCTCTCCTTCCTCCCTCTCCTTCAGCCTTCTCCCGGTGCCTCCAATATACCAGGTGTGGTCCTGTCTCAGGGCCTTTGAAGGGCATCTGCAGACTGTGCTGCAGGTTGTTCTCAAACTATTGAGCTCAGGGTATCCTGCCACCCTGGCCTCCCAAGTGCTAGGATTGCCCTGATCCCAGATGCTTTCTCCTCAGGGACTCAACATGGCTCCTCCCTCAACTCCTTTGAGGTCTCTGCTCAATGTCACCTCATTGGAGAAATCATCTTTGATCATCCCCCACCTGCCCAATCTAGAATGGACCCCTCATTCTCAATCCCTTTACCTTGTTTTGTTTTCTGTGTAGCATCTGTTACTACTTAATCTTGTATATATATATTTAAAATTTTTCTGCTTGTATCTGTCTCCCCTACTAGAACATAACCTCATGGGATGTAAGGGCTTTGTCTTGATAGCCATCCTGATATCTGCACAGTAGGTGCTCTGTCCTTGCTCAATGACTGACTGCATCAAGCATTAAATGCAGACCTTTGTGTCTCTGAATCTTTTCCCCAACTCTCCAAAGCACATACATACTCTTCTTACTTTCATTTTACAGGTGAGAAAACAGGCATGGAGAGGTTAGGTCATCTGCAGAAAATGACACTGCAGGCAAGTGGGGTGGCTAGGAACTAGGCAGTCTAGTTCCAAGTTCACACTTTTACAGCCCCCACCCCCCACACACTTGCCTTCCAGAGGTCACAGATCTCTTGGCCCAACTTGAGCCCCACCCTCCACTCCTGAGGTATCCTAGAATCCCTCGTGCCCTTTGGCCAACCTCATTCCATCCTTCCCAGACCTTTCCCAAGGACCTATTATGGGCCATGCTCATACAGGTGCATTATCTTTTGGAACCTTCCTGCAAATCAGAGAGGAAGTCACACAGCTTGTCAATCTCTCCTAGACTCCAAACTCTAAACCACTAAGCTCAGAGGAGGAGAGTGGCTGGGGTTCTGGGGTGTGTGAAGCTTGGGGCCTGAGGCCAGGGTGTGTGTGTGTGTGTGTGTGTGGCCAGCCTGACCCATGAAAACTTCTCCCTGCAGCCCACCAGGTTCTGGGGTGTGTGAAGCTTGGGGCCTGAGGCCAGGGTGTGTGTGTGTGGCAGGAGGGGGCGGGGCAGGCTGACCCAGGAAAGCTTGTCCAGAAAGACTGTCACAGAGTGTGGATGCCCCACTGCCCTCACATATGTCATTCCCCTCTCACTTCTCTGCAGTGCTGCTGGGCAGGCCAAGTCCTACTCACCTTTTAGATTGCATGGTAACCTAGATAATAAAAACAATGACACGAAATGCTTATTTTCCTTTTCCTTGTGGTACGTACTATTCAAAATTCTTTGTCAACATCCATGGCTTTTAGTCTCACAATCCTTAACAGTAGACATTTCATAATCCCTGCTTTCAAGATGAGGATTCTGAGGCAAAGTGAGGTTAAGGAACCCATCCAAAGTCACCCAGCCAACTAAATCAGTGGCCAAGTTTTACTTATTTAAAACTCGCTGTTGTCCAGCTGGCTCCTTCAACCAGAATGTGAGCTCCCCTGAGACTGTTTTGTTTTCCTCTGTGTCCCCAGCTTAGGGAGCAGGGACAATCTGGTATGCAGTAGGTGCTCACCATTTGCTGAATGCATGAAGTGGCAAAGCTGAGAGTCATGCCCGGGCAGTCTGCTTCCCATTCAGACTGTTGAATTAAAATGCCACCTACTCTAGGACGCCTTCCCTGAACCCCACTCTGTATTAGATTGTCCCCTTTCCCCAGGGCTCCCATAATGGCCTCAACATCTCCCATGAAGGCACTGACCATGCTGACTCTGCAAGTGCCAGGTAGAGAATTTTCATAAAGTGTTTGGAAGCACAGGAGCAAGGTTTCCCTGTCTGTGCTCCTTAGTGGTGACTCACCAAACACAAAGTTGTCAGGCCGAAAGATCTGGCCAAAGGGACCAGAGCGGACAGAGTCCATGGTGCCAGGCTCCAGGTCCACCAGCACAGCTCTGGGGACATAATTCCCTCCTGCAGAGAAACAGATGGAGGGCAGTTCTGGTGAGTACCAAGAACCTGCAGGGCCCTGGGAACATCCTGCCCCTCCCACCCGGGTGAAAGAGATGCCCCCTCACCCTACCTGTGGCCTCATTGTAGTACACATTGATCCTCTCCAGCTGCAGGTCACTGTCCCCATGGTATGTGCCGGTAGGGTCGATGCCATGTTCGTCACTGATCACCTCCCAAAACTGGAGGGGGGTGATGGGAAGGGTTGAGAGATGGGGAGCAGGTGGCCAGGGTGAAGACCTCTCACTCCACACTCAACCATCTCCCTAGCAGCGGCCTGGTCCTAGCAAGGTGATTGAGGGGGGACCCAGAAACCGGGTGCTGAGACAAGGATGAGGCAGCAAGAAGGAAGCGGTGGGGGCAGGGTGAGATGGAGTCAGCACCCTGGAGGCGCCGGCGGTGCCAGTGCACCCCGGCTGCAGTGGGGGTTGGGGAGAAGGGCGAGGTTTCTTTGTGCGCCTGGAGGGGACAGTCGGCCAGCTGTGAGGCCAGCTGTGGCCAACGGACAGAAGGAACGGTCCAGCTCCTATTGGCCTCTTTGTTCCCAGCTTGGCCCTGTCTGCGGCGACCCCTCCCCCATCGTCCCTGGGACGCTGGCCTCCTGGGGACTCGGTCCCCAAGAGACCTCAGCTCCAGGGACCTCTCTTTGAGCCTCTCGGCCACTGCCACTTGCAGGGGCCCGGCGCCCCCCTCCCACGGCGTGCACCTTGGCCCCGATCTGGTTGCCGCACTGGCCGGCCTGCAGGTGCACGATCTCCCGCATGGTGGTGGCGCTGCTGGCGGACCCGGAGGCTGTGGTGCTAGGAGCTGAGACTGCAGAGCGGCTGGCGGTTGCAGCGGCGGAGCACAGTCCCTGCGCCCCCAGGAGCCTCTATATGGCGGGCGGGGCTCGCGTCACGGCTGGTCACCGGCCTGCTCCACCCCCTGGTCCCTCCTCGGGATGGAGGGTGCAGGGATGGTGGGGGGTTGGTGATTCAGGGATTGCCCTCTGAAAAGGCTCCTCCGGGACCTGGGGTGGGGGCACGGGCTGGGATATGCCAAGGGTTGCGTGTGTCCCCACCCCTGCAGAGGTGGGGGTGGGGTGGGAGGTTCCTCTGGCGACATCAGTGCCACATTCCCCACCCCTCTCTGTCCCCAGCCGGGCTTGGCCACTCTTAGCCACTGGGAAGCGGGAGCGCTTGGTAAACAAGGAGCTGGGAAAAACATCCTTCCCCCTCCCAGGCTCTGCCTCAGTGTCTCTAACCACAATCCTCCTCCCCATTCCCTCTGCACCTTATTAGCTAGAACCCTCGCATTAACCAGAGGGCTCCTGGCAGGGGCTAGCTGGACTGGTGGGGCGGTGAGTTTCTGGGAGAGCTTGTCTTGACTCTGTCTAGAAAGTAAAACCACGATTTTCCTTCTCATCTGGGATGCTTGTGGAAGCTGGCAGGGAGCTGTGGGTTCCCCGGGACACCTTTATTGGGTTTTGCACCTATTGCCTGTGGGGTCATCCCTAGCCTGGCCGGGGTGGGTAGGACTATAGCTGGATTACATATTAGGGGGAGGATAGTGAGCTTGGGGGGCTGCCTGACTCCAGTGTTATAACTTACTGCAAATCGTCTCCCCTACTTCTTCTGCATTTCTTATTAGCTCTATGACCTTGGATAGGCTGCTTCTCTTGAGGACTGAACTGCCTCACCTGCAAGATGGTAATGAAGGATGCTCACCCTCCAGGGCTGCTGAGAGGGCCCCAGGATGGGGTAGCTCCAAGTTACCCTTACATAGAGTTGACAATACATTGTTATGATAATAATTATTATCCAGAGGCTGGCTGGAACTTCCTATCTGGCCCTTGAGGCCAGAACTCCTGGGACCACCCCTCCAGCTCTACCCTCCCAGGAAGCTTCCTCCTCTTCCCTGCTTGATGCACTCACTTAAAGATGGGTATATAGCTGGTTGGTGTGGGTTAAGCCACGTTGGCCATGTGATTTGGCCTTCACATTCACCAAAGGCTGTTAATTTTGACCAGTAGTTCCCAACCCAGGTGTGGGGTGTTTTTGCACCCCAGAGAACACTTGGCAATGTCTGGAGGCATTTTTGGTTGTCATACCTTCATTTGTGCCTGTACTGCTGACAGCAATGCCCTAGAGTGCACAGGACACACCCCCACCAGAGAATGATCAAGCCCCAAATGTCAATAGGGCTGAGGCTGAGAAACTCTGTGTTAATTATTTGGGCACAAATTTGGGTTAGATCTCTAGGTGACACGAAATGCCAAAATAAATTCCAGATGGGCTAGACTCAATATGAATTAGACCAGATCTGTCCCTGAGCCTCTGTAGTTTATTTCATCTCTCCCTCTCCTCTCAGTTTGTGTATTTATGTATACATTTTCCCCTTGCAAATGATTTTTTTATTTAATTGCTGAATATTCCTCCCATAGGAAACCAATCTAACTTAGCACTCTTTATGACTCCAGTACAATCCTCAAGGCATGAGGGTGACTGTGACACCCTCAGATGACTGAGAGTGACTGAAAGTCACTGGCAGTGCCTGAAAAACACCTCTATTTCCTGTCTTGTTTCATACATCTATGAAACTCTACAGTTTCTCCCACCTCTAAAAGCAATAATGTTTACCAAAATTGGCATTTTTGTTTTACAGAGATATATATATAGGCAATGTGTGGTAGTAGAGAGAGTAACAAGATATGACTTTACTAATACTGCATGAAGAATAAAGAGTGATTTCATCATTTCTGCTTTGCAATGTAGTTTCCCAAAACCAACTGTGATAAAAAGTCAACAACTTTGTCTATTATTAATAAAAATAGTGATGTTTAGACCAGATCTAAGGCCAGATCTTGTTCTAAGTGCTAAATGTGTATCAGCTTGTTTATACTTGAACCTGTGAAACCACAATCTAGGAGGTAGGTGCTGTTTGCATGTCCATTTACAGATGAGGAAATGGAGGCCCAAGGAGGTTCAGCCTCTCACCCAGTGTCACACACTGATGAGGCTAGGAACAGAGCTGAGACAGCCCTGCATTCTGGGGGCAGAGCCCTAGCTCTTTATCACTACAGGATGCAGTTTTTATTTATTTATTTATTAAGAGAAGAAAAGGGCTTGCAGTCAAATGAGTTATTTTTCAGGAAGAAAATATTACTGTAGTAGAGGCAGCCATGTGATTGTCACGTGCCCTGTGGCCTGGACCTCTCCATTTAGTGTCTGCCCACCTCGGTGCCTGGGGCTCTGGACTGGCTGCCATGTGTGCAGTCAGCTTCCAGTACTCTGATCTATGCTGTCTTTGTGTACTGGGCCTGAGGATCGCTGGCTCTTTTCCAGAGGTCCTTCCCGCCCCCTCTTGCTGGTCTGTTCTTCCATTTCATTGCCCAGACCTTAGATCTACATCTCAGCTGGGTCTGTTTTTCTTTCCCTCAGCCCTGGTGGAAGCTGAGGCCCAGCCCCATGAGGACCCTTTTCAGCTGCAGTCAGGAGAAGACATAGCATTCTGGAAGTTACTGTTCCTGCACAGGGATGCTGAATGAGTCTTAATAGCAGCCCTCCCAATTCTAGAGAGCACACAAATGCTCTGTGGAAGCTGTGCCTGGTACTGCTGGCACCAAGCATGGGATGGATGGGAGGGGGCAATGGCCTGTTCTTTGGCTGTGCCGGGTGTGCAGTCTGCCTCTTGCCGACACTCACCACCAGACAAACTATATAGTACATCCTGAGGGAGGCTTGGTCAGAACAGGATTTCCTAGGAGATGAGCAGGGAGGAGGGCTGAGATTGAGGGGATGGGGTAGGGAGGGGACACTTGCTCCCTTGCTGTGCAGCCACTTGCCTGTGCACTGAGGATGTCCAGCTGGCCAGGTGTCAAAGATGGACGTGACCAGCTGCTTGTAGACCATGACCATGCAGGTGCTGCCCATTAGAGCCTATGAACTTAGCTGCAGGCTCTGCACATGACCACCTCTCCTAGGCTGATCTGTGGGCTGCAGGGAAGGGGGGTAGGGTGGAGGTAGGGCATTAATCACTGTTGGGGCTGAGGCTGAGGGGACCATAGAGTGGAAGGCGTCAATGCTTTGTCTCAGCTTGCATTTCCCTACTTCATATGGAAAAGGGGTATAGTTTTCCACTAAACCAGGCAAAAGGGTGGGTTTTCTCATTTCACCACTCACAAAACTGGGAGACTTCGCCCACTCTTGTGCCTGAAATGGGTAGGATTTCCTATTTCATGAGGGCAAGGGGCCTGGCTTCACCTTACCCCAAGAAAAGGGGTGCATCATCCCCCAAATTTAGGTCAGACTTGGGCAGGAGATATACCTGAAAGGGGTGGGATCTCCCTATTTCACATCAGAAATAGGCAAGATTTCCTGTCCCGTATCTGAATGGAGTGGAACTTCCCCATTATATATAACAGGAAAAGATGATAGATTTCTTCCCAAATGTCTGAAAGTGGTGGTACTTCCCTTTTCACTGCCCGGAGAAAGAGGTGGGACATTTCTCTCATGTTTGAAAGTGGGAGGTTTTCCTACTCACCAGAAAAGGGGCCTGGACTGCTGTCTATTTTATGTGTATGAGGGATGGGAGTCCTGTCTGCTAGGGGAAGGCGGCTGAGTTTCCTCTGCTCCAAGACTGGGGCAGAGAGGTGGGTGTCTCTTCTGTCCTATGTCAACAAGGGGTGATCTTTCACTTTTCCTCAAGGAAAGGTTTTTCTTCTATGCCATCAAGCAGGAAGAGTTTCTATTTCATTAGGATAAGAACTGGGACTTGCTCCTGCCATAGAGCAGGGCTTCCCATTTTCCAGAGAAAGGGTGAAGCTTACAATGTGGCACATCACCACACTGGGGCGAAGGGGGCCAGCCCGGTATTGCAAAGATGGAGATTAAGAAGCCTATGGTGATGAGGGTAGAGTCCTTAGTGTTACGGGGCCAGGCACGGTGGCTCACAACTGTAAGCCTAGCATTCTGGGAGCCCAAAGTGGGTGAATTGCTTGAGCTCAAGTTGGAGACCAGCCTGAGCAAGAGCAAGAACCTATCTCTACTAAAAATAGAAAAACTAGCCAGGCATTGTGGCAGGTGCCAGTAGTCCCAGCTACTCAAGAGGCTGAGACAGGAGGATTGCTTGAGCCCAGGAATTTGAGGTTGCTGTGAGCTAGACTGATGCCACAGCACTTTAGCTTGGGAAAACAGAGTGAGACTGTCTCCCCCCACCCCCATGATGTAATGAGACACCTGCAGGTATTTGATGGTGGTGTCACTGCAAAAGAAGCCTTGAAAGTGAGGTGTTACCACACCACTCTGACTCAGCAGGGTGGGGACATTGACTGCAGGGGGCAGATGACCTTACTCATGGTCAGGTAGCCTGAGGCCTACTGCCTTACACCTTCTGTTCAGTCTGTCCTCCCTGAGTCTCCACAGCCTGGACAAGGTAGGAAGACGGGAAGACTATACAGGGAGGATGGTCTGGCCAGAGGTGAGAGGAGGAGAGAGCCCCAGGGACTCATCCATCGCTGGGGTCCTCTCATCCCCCCAGGTCAGCATCCTCTGCCTGTTGTGTGAGATGGTGGGCAGTGTTGGGGCTGGGAGGATGCGTAGGTATGGCATTTGTGGGTCTTTGAAGGAGGTGGGCAAAGAGCTCAGGATAATGTTGAGGACAAGGGTGGGAGAACTCACTTTTTCTGTATGTGTATGTGTGTCCTGATGTGTGAGCGTCTATGTGTATGGTTGTAGTTCTTCGTGTCTTTGCATCTGTGAGTGTGTGTGTGTCCATGTTGACAGATAGCTATATCTGTGTCACCGTAAAGTGAGCATAGCTCTGTGAATCTGTGGATTGTGTTTCCTGGTGTGTGTGTCTTTCTA